GAATACAGGAGGGTCTTAATTTTTACAAGAAATGGACACAGACAAATGTGTCCGCATGAAAGTCTGGAAAGACAGACACCCGAGTGCTCTGGTAATTGTCTCGTGCTAGTAGGGATTATGGATGTTATTTTCTTGTCTTCACGTATCCATATTACCTAATTTTCTAAGAAAGGACATACGCGTTCCTTCTGAAATTAAGAAAGCAAGCTTATGACTGAGACGAGAGCCAAGAATCCAGGGACGAGGCATGATGGATGCATTCCGTAGCAATCCACACAAAGCTCGCAGGGTCCCAGGCTGGCTCCCAGGCTCCAGGCCTCTCCCTGGCCACCGCCCCCGCTTCTTGCCCTGAGGGAAGCGTCAGTGTTGGTCTCTGTGGGCCTGGGGAAGCACGTTGCAGACAGGCCAGCTGCTGGCAGGACCTGCCTGTTCAGTGAGCGCCGAACCATAGCTCACGCCGTCCCCGAGGACGGCCGCTCTCCAGCTGCAATTTCAGCCTCAATTAGCGCAGAGACAGGCTCTTGAGCAGCTCATCATCTCGCAGCTGCCAAGCCGGCGCTTTACCTGGGATATGCCCGTGAACTTTAGGGTGTATCTCTTCAAGCACTCATAATAGGGAGCAGCCAAGATGCAATTTAAAATTCAACTTGAAAGTGATTTTCTGAGGTTCCTTTCCACTAATTTAAGGAGCTGGGGTGGGAACGAGGGGAGAGGGACGGCAGAGGCTGGGGAAGGAAACCTGTCTGTCCTAGAAAGTGAAGCCTAATTACTCGCGGAGCAGACGGACGGGAGGGCTGGCGGCAGGCAGCCCTGTGCACAAGCCTGCGTGGCTCCTCTCCCCCCTGTGCGGCCTGGACCGCGCGGCCATGCCTGCCGAGTGGGCGAGCAGGTGGGGCAGCGTGGGCCCCGCCTCCCGTCGACATGGGGCCTCGGAGGCTGAGCGGTGTTCAGGCCGGGGGGCGCGGCGGGAGAGGGGGGGATGCAGAAGCCAGGGGGCACAGATGAGCACCGGGTGGGGGTCTCACCCCCTCCTTCTACCCTACAGACCCCTGCATGGCCCAGCGATGCTCCCCTTCCCTTCACGCTGGGGAGGCTCCAGACCTGGAGAGAACCCGGGTGGCTGAAGCCGGTGTCCCTTTAGGGGTGACCTTCAAAGGCTCTCGATTTAGCGCCAGGCCCACACTGACACTCAGAGTGCGATTCGCACCGAAAGACCATTTCATGCCTGAGCTCCCCGTCCCGGGTGTGAAGTGTAAAAACGTCACCCGGTAGCGAAAGGCTAATTCCCAATTTAGTTCAGAAAAAATCTGGACAACCTTTTGGAGTCCGCCTCATTCCACTCTGTCCGCCACTCACGGCTGCCCTGCTGAGTAACAGTCACCTGGCCACGCAAGGCACAGGGCGACTTCCCGGCTCCGGCCGAGAGCACCCCGCGCAAGGGCAGCCCTGGACGCCGCGCCGCTGCGCACAGTGGGACTCACCCCTGGGCCCCGCTGCTGCGCGGCCTGGGGTGCAGCTGCGCGACTCCCTGCCGCACAGGACCCTCCAGCGGGGCTTTGCATCCACGACAGGGGAAGCCCCCACCTGGAGCGACACACAGGAGACACCGGGCACAAAGCCGAGGCTGAGCTGCCCGGGGAAACGATGTCGTTGCACAGAGCACCTGGCGGGCCTGGCCCAGAGACCGCATTCTAAACACTGTGTGGGCGGCTCACGCATCGGCGACCATGTTCCTGTCTGCGAGGCACCAAAGGACGACTCTGGGACCCGCGGCCGCCCGGAGCCCTGGCTGTCCCCAGCCCACCTGTGGTCCCTATTGCGGCAACATCAGGCCAACGCTCTACGTTTAGCGTTGAACACAAAGCCACTCTCTCCTGTTCGTCTCTGGCGGCGCCAGCGTGCGGAGGTGGGCGTCCAGCCTGTTGCCCTACCAGCCCCCTCCCTTTGCCCACCTCGCGGGCTCCCTCTCAGCGTCTCCCTCTCGGGACTGGGGAACGAGACTGTCAGAGACAGGACGGCCTTAGAGTTGCCTGGCCCAACCCGTGCGTCTTTCCGCTTCTTTTGATTAGGGAAGGGTAAAAGAATCAGAAAAATAGGACAGCTCACAACACCCGCACGTCCAGGCCCAGCCTCGGCAGCTACCGACTCAGGGCCACCTGGTTTCGTCTACGAGCCACGCCCCCCTCAGCTCCCCTTCGTCACCCTCAGGGACCATTGACCTGCGTCTTCCCGGAGCCACAAGGAGGGGGCGGGGCTGTTGGACTCCCACGTCGGGCGCAGGTGGCCAGAGCGCGGAGCGCAGCCCGGGCCTGCATCAGCTCTGGGTGACAGTCTTGTCCCCTTTATACCTTTTGCTAGAGCCACGCTCTACTTGTGCTGTTATTCATTTTTTTCTTCGAGGGTCACCTTTTGGCCTAAGTGCATTCGTTTAAAATGGGAACTTTCTATTGTTCCCATGAGGGAGGAACAGGCATCATTTGCCACAAATAGAAGGATTCACTACAGACGACGGAGGGAACGAAGCTGCTAACCCCCAAGTTGACCCTGGGGGCCGCCCAGGGCGCTGAGTCTCTGGAATACGGCGCTGGTGGGGACATGCTCAGATTTGGGCCGTCGGCAGATGCGACGGTGAAACATCTCGCACGGCAGCTACTGTGCCCGCAGTCTCCTCGGTCACTGAGGGCTGGTTTTTCTCCGCCGAACGCCTCTGAGCTGCACGGAGCCAGCAGGCGGTCAGGGCCTGTCGCCTGCATGTGCCCCAACGTGCTCGCCGCTGGTCCCGTGAGCAACGGGCACCTGGAGTCCTGCACGGGGTCCCTCTACGTGCCATTTAAATGTCTTAGTCTTAAAAAAGGTGTGCAGCCGCGAAACGAGATGTTAGCACAGCAGCCCCCGTATCTGCAGGGATACATTCCAAGGCCCTCCGCGGGTGCCTGAAACCACAGGCAACACTGAGCCCTACAGACAGTTTTTTCCTACACGTACATTGGTATGAAATTCAGCTTATACAGTAGGCTCAGTAAGATCCACAACAGTAACAGAACGAACAGTTTTAACAAAACTATGGCAATAGGAGGTATGGAAATGGCTTTGGGGCCAGATCGAGTAAAATAAGGGTGGCCCGAACACAGGCACCGAGACGTGACGCAGCCCATCTGATCACCAAGGCAGCTACGGAGCAGCTGAGGGGCAGGGAGCGGGCGCAGCGTGGGGACCCTGGACAAGGGTTGTCACGTCCCGGGCGGGGGGACGGAGCAAGGTGGCTTGAGATCTCATCACACTACTGAGAATGGGGCACCATTTAGAACTTATGGACTGTTCGTTTCTGGAATTTCCCAGTTAATATTGCGGCCTGCAGTTGGCCATGGGTAACAAACCGCAGATAAGGGGGGATCACCGTGTACGTACCCAGTGTCCTCAATTCTGTGTTTTCTTGCGAAACAACAGACAAGTGTCTTAGAGGACCCCAGAAAGGAAGACAGCGGCAAGCCAGGGAAGCGGCCACGTGCTGTGGCTAGAACACCGTAAGGGGATCGCCTGCCACGGGACGGACAATAAGCCTGAGGGCAGGGGACAGTGCCAGCCCCCTTGAACAATGACACTCGGAGCCCAAGACCGGTGTGACCGATTTATGTCACAGCATCATCACAAAGGCCTGTGCCTTCGCAGTTCATCCGACAGCGTGTTTTCTTAGTGGTCCATGAAATAACGGTGCATCTCCCGCGCACCGGCATCACACACGTGACGAACCGTGGCCCCTCATGTAAAGCGCCTGCTGCCTGGGAGCGTTCCTGCACGGCCTCACCGCCCTCCGGCCTTGCCGGGCCCTGGAAGCTCGGGCTTCTCCCCCGAGAGCCCACTCCAGTCACCGGGACCCTGCCCCCGGGCCTCGGCCCGGCCGGTCTGGGCAGGGCCAAGAATCTGTGTTCCTCATAGGCTCCCGCGGAGCTGACGCTGCAGGGCCACACGAGATGCTGTGCTGTCGTCTCCATCGTTACATCCCCTGCATCCTCTGGTCCTGTCAGCCTGGTGGGGGGGGAGTGGGGGGTCTGGGTGGCGCCAGAACCCAGGCAGGGACCGCCCATTCTTTTGGACATCTCAGGGGGGCGCCATCTCTCCGGCATGTTCATGGCCAAGAAAATAGAATCTGTAGTGCAGGCGGGGCCGGCAAAGCTCTGGGGGACCCCGACGGCCTTACACGTTGGGGGGCAAGGCCCTGACTGAACTCAGCAGACTGCGCTGGAACCCGTTCGCAGGGCTATTTAGGTCAACGCAGGACAAACACGCCCGGCACACTTGTCACGTCTGCTCACATGTGTCCTTGCTGGTGACATGGGCGGGTCCCTTTCCCTTTGAGGGGTGTGTGTTGCTAGTTTAGTAAAAGAAACATCTGTGTATTTTTCTTCTCAAAAAGGACAATCCGTTTTTCAAGTTGCCACGCATCTCTGAAGTGGAGTGTCTGCCAGCACCGCCCTCTCTCCTGCGAGCCCAGCGCAGGGGAGCGTGTGCTCTGAGCGCCGCGCTGCCAAGCCTTCCCTGCAAGGGCCAGGGTCTGCTCGCGTGTTCTCTGACCAACCGTGAGCGGCGCTTTAGGAAACAGGAAGCAGAGCCTTGCTGTGGATACAGAAGGTTTATTGCTTATAAAAATAAATTACAAAAAAAACCCAAAACACCCAGCCTGCCCACGCGCACGTGTGCAAGGGCCTGTTTAAGCCCCAAGGCCCCTGAAGACGGCTCCGGGCCCGGGTCCAGGGGTCAGCGCACCGGTGTGGCTCGCACACGCAGAGGGACAAACCGCGTAGCTTTTTAGAGAGAGAGGGAGGGGGGCGGGAGGGAGGGACACCGATCTGCTGTTCACTCCCTCATGTGCTCGCTGGCTGATTCAGGCAAGTGCCCTGGCTGAGGCTCATGCCACGACCTTGGTGCGCCAGGGTGACGCCCTAACCCGCTGCGCCCCCCGCCCCCCGCCCCGCCTGGCCCCTGCTGCGCTGAGTCCGCGTTCTGAGCTCTGAAAAGGCCTTCTTCACCTTCCGCATACCTGCTAACGTGTCTAACCGGTCCGCGCGCAGACATGGAACCTTTTCCTCCAGAGGCTCAGCCTGCATGGGCGCCGTGCTGTTTCACATTGGGGGTGGGGGTGGGGGTGGGAGGTGCTGTACGGACCCTGGGCAGTGGGGGGCCTGACTGCCCAGGGCCAGCCGGGGAGGTGGGGCCGGGTCACTGCCGGCAGGTGTCGTGGAAGGCTTCGAGGGTCCGGAAGTCCCTCCACGTGGGCGGAAGGCCGTCCTGCAGAAACTTCCCACAGCGCTGGCACGGGGCCTGGAACAGCTTCACGTAGCTCCTCAGCCAGGTCTGCAACGAGAGTGTGGAGAGATGGGGAAGGGGCGGGGCCTGGGGGCTGCCGGCCCCTCCTGCCCGTCAAGCCCTGTGACCTCGAGGGGAGCCTGAGGCGGCTGTGGCTCCAGAGGATGCCCTGTGACTGTAGGGAAAGTGGCCCGCAGAGCCCACTGGGCCGTGACACTGCTGGCTGCCAGCTGCGAGGGAGCTTTTGGAAGAGACGCTCCTCCCCGTGTGGGCAGGGAGTGCTCCTCGGTGTGCGGCTTGGGTCCTGCCCTGCTCCCCGCCCCGGGGCCACGGACACGGGCGTCCGACGCCGATTTCAGAATTCTCCCCTGAGGTCGGCACCGCTTCTGTCTAATCGGATTTCAGGGGTCATCACTCACTGTCACAACGTGGCCCAACATACCTTCGGGGGGGGGTGGGGACAACCTGGTGCCACCAAATAACATAATAAGCAACAAAGACACACTTGAGCGGTTCAGAGTGCAGAGTTCTCGCGGGCATCATACATAGGGATGAGACTCACATAACTCAATTCTCAAATGCAAGGAGACGCGCTACCAAAAAAACGAAACCCCACAAACCAAACCCCGAACAACAGGTAAGCAAGTTCTCGCTGTGACAGGGACTCATGAATCTCGTCATTTAACGTCCTCCTGAATTATGTCGACTAGAGAAAATTGTTCTTTGAAGAGGTCAGCTGAGTTTATGGACACAAACCCTCTCCTTTCACCACAGTTGCCTCCATGGCGAGGCCTGTGCCCCTCAATCCTGCCCCTTCCAAAGGCTTGGCATCAGAGGTTTTGGTAATAAACGCAGGGAAGTCAATGGACCACTTGGTTAAACTCTTTATCCTTTACTGCTGATCAAATTCAAAGGCCTCCCAAACCCCCGAGTCAGTCACCTAAGGCAAGTGGCCCCAGGACACGCCAGGTGAAGAGCGGCCTTTGTGTCTCTGCGGTGGCAAAGGGCCCACCACAGAGTTCATGGAAGTGCTCCCGAGGCCTGCGACCAAACTGTCACATGGGCAGCCTGCAGAGCGCCGGCTTGGGCTCCCCAGCACCGGGAAGCCAGGCTCTGAGGAACGAACCGCAGGCTAAGAGGCTTAGCTGCCAAGGCAGATGCGCTCGAAGGGCGCGAGCGCTCCGCCACCTGCGGGCTGCGCTGGGGTGGGCCTGCGCACAGAGAGGCCCTCGAGCAGGTTCTCTGGTCGGCAGCCTGTCTGGCATGAATTAAAAAGGCAGGTCTAGCAGCAGTGAAGGACGGGCCTACTGATGTGAGAGCAGGCAGCTGCGTCAGCGTGGTGTGCGCACTGCCAGGACGCGTGGCGCCAGCTGCCGGCCATAGGCCGCGTCGGCAGCAGCAGGCTGAGGGGCCGGCTTTGGGGCGGTGGGGGAGCCACCCTGGCTTGCAGCGTTTGCTGATTTCCACGGTGTAAACATCCAGCTACCAGCGGTGGAGCAACTGGCTCGCCGAACTGTGAATGGCTCCGGAGAGCCCAGTGCCCTGCGGTGCCCATGTGGCGTCGTCGCCTGCCCTGAGGCCCAAGCCTTTCAGTCCAAGGGCAAAACGTCTTGGGGGAAGTGCCAGGCGTGTCACTGCCGCGGCCGCCTGCTCGGCGGCAGCACAGGGCCTGGTGCAGACCAGGGCCCAGCGCCCGCCTCACACCCCGTCGGCACTGGAGCCCGCCCTGGGGGGCGTTTGGCAATGGCAGAACCACGCCTTCACTGAGCAGGAATGGCTTCTCCTAGACCCCGTCCCGATTCCGAGGAAGCATCAGCCTGACACCAGCCTCCGCCGTGAGCCTCCCTCGACGAAGGCAGCGTGTGAACGTGGGCTGCCGCGCGTACAGCCACTTACCATGAAGGACCTGACCACGACATCCGGCATCTGGGGCAGCTGGTAGTGCAGCAGGGCAGTGGTGGCGTGGTCTGTCACCTGCGGACCAAGGACAGCGACGGGTGTCAGGGGCCTCTCCAAATCAGCACAGAGAAAACGAGGCAAATGCAATCCTTGTCCACCGCAAACAAATCTGTTTTTGAATGTCTCTTGAGGAAAGGACATCTCAAATAAAATCTGAAGTACGGAAATCAGTTTGCAGAGTCGGGGCGGGGAAGGGGCGGGTGCGGTGGGCAGAGAGGAAGGAGGCCCTGAAGGCCTGAAGGGGAGCGGGGTGTGCACCGTCCCGCAGCACGCGAGGCGGGGCAGGGCCGGAGGGTTGCCGAGGAGGGGGTGCCGGGGGCAGTGTGCGGGCTGTCACTGCGCGGACCGGTGCGTCCTGCCCCGCCTGCTTCCTTCCTTCCGTCCTCGCCTGTCTCATCCTTTGTAGCCACACTAGTTTTTTGATCAGGAATATGGTGGTTTCTCATGATTCTGCGCCTCACTATTGTTATCTTTCTGAGGCACTTGCCGCGCCACGTGTTGTTCTCTCACCAGCCCTCGGGAGGGGGCTCGTTTCCAACCCCCGAGGGCCACCCCCGTTCTGCAAGTGCAGGTGGAGGCTCTAGTGGCAGGGCCGGGGCCCAGGGGCTTGAAGTCCACCGAGCACCCTGTGACTGGAGGGGACCCACTGGGCGTCAGCCCGGGCACTGTCCGCGGACCCTGACCCCAAAGCTTTGCCCCTGCTCTCAGCGGCGCTCTGGAAACAAAGGGCTGCTCTGTGATCCCTCGTAGCTCTGAAATTTGACGACACTCCGGATTGCTAATGCCTGCCATCAATCAGCAAATTAATAGGTCACAGCTAATTTGATGGCTATGTTCAAACACATGGTTAATTTGATTGTTCTCATTAGGGATTCGTGCCACTGCAGATGCTGTGGTTAAACACGAAGTGAGACCCTGCATGAGAACAGCCAAGGGTGCGCCCTGGGTCCGCGGGTCAGCACCGGCCCCCACCGAGCACCGTGCGTGGAGCCCCGGGCCCCGGGGCAGGGAGCATGCCGGGCAGGAGGCAACCAGGAGGGCGGACCAGGCCCGCGCGCTGAGCTGCAAGCTACCGGACACAGGTCCCGCGGTGGGAGCACACCCACCGCCGGGGAGGCCGCCCCGGGGGAGCGAGGCGCGCTACGGGTTCCCAGCTCAGGGCGCGCGCGGACCCTCTCCAAGCCTCAGTGCCGGGGCACCACGGCCGCGCCCACGAAGCCCTCGCCCTCCAGCCTGCCCCCCGCCCCCCACCGGCTCTCACACTCTCCCTGGACCCAGGGCTTGCCCTCTGCCCCCACAGGGCTCTCACGGCTGCGTGGGGACCACGGATCAGGCCCATTGGGCCTGTGCTGAGTCTCCATGGCCTGGAACATCACCTGGCATGTAAGGGCAGGTGCCCTTTGTTGAATGTTTGTTGAATAAAGAAATAAACTTAAAAATGCCCACTCACCAAAGGCCACATCCCAGAAACACCTGCCCTGGCTTTCTTGCAAATACAGCAAACAGGTTGTGCCTCCACACGGCTAAGAAATTCTCACCAAGTGACCATCAGGATGAATGGTTGATCCCTTCACATGCAAAGCCTGTTTTATATGAAGCATTTTTGACAGACAGCTTTCTAAAATGAGCTTTTTTTTTAAAAAAAAACAAGAGCAACGACAGCCTGGTGGAATGAGGAGCGGCGGGCGGGTCGCACGGTGTCCCGAGGCCTGGCTGCGCCCCCTGGGGCCGGCAGGAAGCCCGGTGTGGGCCTGTGTGAGCTGGTGAGCCGCTCCTCACAGCCACACCTGCCGCCGGGAAAGCAACGGGGCTCTGGAGGGCGTGTTCTCCCGCGCCCACGAGTTTCACGCGGCCCTCACAGCGCCCGGCCCCAGGCGCCCTCCTTTCCGGCCGTGGGGCCTGGGAGCCACCTGGGATGAGTCCAGATCCGCCCATCTCAGCAGCTGGAGCGCCCGGCCTGGGGCCTGTCTCCCTCACCTGACTGGCCACCCAGCGGCCCCCTCCAAGGTTGGGACGCTTTGTTTGGCTCTGAAGTCTCTTGGTTTTCCTTTTGACAATTTTTAACACGGTGACGAATATTTAAGTTCAGGACACCGCACCTAACTTGGTCCCAGCTTCTCTTGAAGCGCCACCGTGGGCGGCTCACCCTTCTCAGCTGCAGCCCCCCGTCTGGAAAGTGGGGACGACAACATACGCCGCCCATCGCATGGGGCAGCTGCGAGGGTCAAATACAACAGCCCGCGCGGGCACTTCGGCGAACTCGGCGATCACTCAGCTGTAAGCCTGTGTCGCTCCGCGGCTGGAGGCTCTCAGAGGATGTGGGTACACTCGGGACAGAGCCCAGACGTGTGGCCCCGCCTCCTCTGTGCCCATCCCCTCGGCTGAAACGTGGCCGGACCCTCAGGTGCTCCGTCTGCCCCCCCCCACCCCCACGCCCCTCTCGGGCCGGGCGGATCCATGTGCTCGGGAAGCCTCCCGGAACCCCGGGAAGGTGGTGGTCTCTGTGCTCAGATCTGTTCTGTCCCAGCATTCCTCGTGACTCGCGTCATTACTTGCGTCAAATTTTGTTTAGGGCCAGTTCCCCTAACCTGCCCATGGACTCTGAGGCCAGGGACCCTGCCTGCCCCGTGCCTGACATGGGGGTCCTGACTCGTGCTCTGACTGAACAGGTGGTCCGCTCTGTCCCCGGGGCATCCAGGGAGACGGGCCCACGAGGGGTGTGGGGCAGAGAACGAGGCCCTCACGGGTAGGGACAGGAGCTAAGGGCCCTAGACTCCACCTGTGCCCAGAGACCCCGGGCCTCACCGCCAGGCTCTCCTGGGCTCCGGCCTGTGCGACCCCGCCGCTAGGTTGGGCCACGTGGCCACTCCAGCCGTCCGTTGGGAAGCGGAAGGGTGGGTGCCGCTTCACCTGGAGGCAGAGCGGGGGGCGCGTTCCCCTGCCAGGTCGGGAGCCGCATCAGGGGGATCCTGGGCGGAGCCTCCGTTCAGCCAGGGTCCCTGGGTGACGGACAGGAGCCCGGCCCTTTGACAACTCAGGCTGGTGCGCAGTGTGAGCGGCAGGTGGCTCTGTGACGAAGACTGAGAAGCGTGCCTGTCACCGCCACACCCCTCTCCACACACTGATCTGCTCTCCCAGGACACGTCTTTCTTTGCCACGAGACAAGCCAGGACGCTGGCCAGGACTGCAAGCTCCAGCTGTGGCCCAGGAAATGTCTGCTCTAGGAACGGCGTCGCTGGACATGGGCTGGAAGCGGCAGCCGCACAGGCACGTGGGGCTATGCCCCCCCCCCCCCCGCAGGCCCAGGATCCGGGTCTCTGGGCGGGGCCCAGACACCGAGCCGCCCCTGCAGCTGTTCCTGGGACCGAAACGCAGGAGGATGCAAATATGGATGTGCACACAAGTCCTGGGGGGCCGCTACCAGGCTGATGCCGACTAGGTAGGCCTGGGGCGGGGCTTCTTCCAGCCTGGGCATTTCCAACAGATGCCCAGGTGACTCCCAGGCTGCGGTTGCGCGAGCGGCAGGGCGGTGCAGCCGCCTGGGCCCTATGGGGGAAGGCCCCAACGGGGCAGGCACCTGATTCTGCGGCACAAAACCAAGGAGGACAAATCTGATGGAGAGATTGTCTTTTTGGAGAGTCAGAAATAAATGATGCTACCCCACCTTGTCCATGGCGCTGAGGACCTGGGGCGCTGTGCTGGGCTGTCCTATTTTCGAGAGGCTCTTTCCCAGGGCCCCTCGAGTACTGACTGACCGACGACCCTTGTCCAACGAGAGCTGGCGGTGCAGGTGCCCCTCGTGCTGACCCCCACGGTGACAGGGGCAGGCACTCTCTGTCTTTCCACTGCACAGGAGAGGAAGCGGAGGCCTGCGACCTGCCTGCCGGCAGACGCCCTGACCAGCCCTCCTGGCGCGCCAGCAAAGGCGTGTGCCCCCGGCGCCCGGACGGCACCTGCCCACCGCCTCCCGCCTTCCCAACGCCAGGGCCCGGCCTGAGGCGCAGGTCAGGAGGCCAGTCCTTGTGGCTGCTGCTCCGGAGCAGAAGGGGCTGAGTTGACCGGAAAGCGAGCCCTGGCAATCCGGCTGGCGCTGTGCCCCGACGCTGCCGGGCGTTCAGCTCCGGGGCCCGCACCTGCCCAGGCTCTCGGCGCCAGCAGCGGCCGGCTCTCCTCCAAGGCCCAGCACAGAGCGCTCCCTCCACTGCCAAACGGTGGCAGTTGTAATTTCCTGAATTTCCCCATCACCAATCACAGAAGTATTTCAACAGAAGCAAACAAAGCTGACTCATTTGCTATGCTCTCCCTCCCTCCCTTCCACCTTCCTCCCCTGCTGGTTTTCGGGATCCCAGGACACAGCTCCGAGGCACCAGCAGGCCCAAATGTTGGAGAAATTCACCTACAATGATCTTGCTTTTTGTCAAAGCACTCCACCTTCAATGTATTTTTGTTTTACACTTTTCAATAACAAAGTTGTTTTTTTTTGCTCAGCATCCAAGATGTGGAAAAAACAGGCCTGAGGCAACAAAAAAATCTGCTATTAACTAATTTAAACGGGACCCTGAGCCCTCAGCAGGCGAAGCTCCCCTGTGTATTGTGACGCTAATGAGCTTCCAGGGGGAGATAAAAGCCGGCTGGGGCCGGAGGGCACTAATGCACCTGGAAACGGCGCCCCACCGGCAGGCAAGGGTCTGAAAGAAGACAGTGGAAAGATCAAAGCAGCCGGAGAGCCCCCGGAGAGGAGGGGGAGACAGGGACCCGCAGAGGGGGCGGGGAGAGGAGCCGGGGAAGGGAAGAGAAAGCGGCTCAGATGGCTCAGATGAGAACGGAGGGGCCCTGGCTGAGTGTGGGGTGCGCTGACTCCCCCAGCTCGGGTTGGACCGCAGGCGCTTGATTTTGAGTAGGTGACATTCGTTGTCCACCAGCAGATCTGCCTTGTTTTATTAACCTCACTTCCAGTTTTCTCCTCTTGCACCCTCCCCCAAGGCTATGGAAACTCCCCTCCCCAGCCCAAACTG